AGGTGTTTTGGGCAAATTTACTGACAACACCAAACTTGGAGGAGTTGTGGACTCTGGTGAGTGTGGAAAGGCCTTGCAGAGAGTCCTGGACAGATTGGAGAGCTGGGCGATCACCAACCAGATGAAGTTTAACAAGAGCAAGTGCTGGGTCCTGCACCTGGGACAGGGCAACCCTGGCTATATGTACAGACTGGGCGATGAGACGCTGGAGAGCAGCCCTGCAGAGAGGGATCTGGGGGTTGTGGTTGACAGCAAGTTGAATATGAGCCAGCAGTGTGGCCTGGCAGCCAGGAGGGCCAACTGTATCCTGGGGCGCATCAAGTACAGCATTGCTAGTTGGTCGAGGAATGTGATTGTCCCGCTCTACTCTGCGCTGGTGCTGCCTCACCGCGAGTACTGTGTGCAGTTCTGGGCACCACAGTACAAGAAGGACATTAAACTGTTGGGGAGTGTCCAGAGGAGGGCGATGAAGATGGTGAAAGGCCTAGAGGGAAAGACGGATGAGAAGCAGCTGAGGGCACTGGGCCTGTTCAGCCTGGAGAAGAGGAGGCTGAAGGGGGACCTCATTGCTGTCTACAACTTCCTCGCGAGGGGGAGTGGAGAGGCAGGTGATCTATTCTCTGTAAACACTAGTGATAGGACCCACGGGAATGGTGTTAAGCTGAGGCAGGGGAAGTTCAGGCTGGACATCAGGAAGAGGTTCTTCACCGAGAGGGTGGTTGCACACTGGAACAGGCTCCCCAGGGAAGTGGTCACTGCACCGAGCCTTCCTGAATTTAAAAAGCGATTGGACTGTGCACTTAGTCACATGGTCTAAACTTTTGGGCAGACCTGTGTGGTGCCAGGAGTTGGACTTGATGATCCTTATGGGTCCCTTCCAACTAGGGATATTCTATGATTCTATGAACCATGTAAACAGCAAAAGGAAGACTAGGGATACTGTGGATCACTTGCTGAAGGGGGGGGTCTCCTGGTAATGGGAGATGCCGAGAAGGCGGAGATACTGAATGCTTTCTTTGCTTTGGTCTTTGCTTCAATAACTCCTGCCTGGGACTCCTCGACCCTGGAGGGAGAAGAAAGTCTGGGAAGTAGAAATCTCCCCCCTTGTTGACAAGGGAGTGGTTCGGGAGGGTCTGAGTGGGCTAAACGCACATAAATCCATGGCTCCCGATGAGATGCATCCACGTGTGCTAAGGGAATTGACAGAGGTGATTGCCGAACCGCTATCATCTTTGAAAGGTCCTGGAGAACAGGAGAGGTGCCTGAAGATTGGAGGATAGCCAATGTCACTCCGGTCTTCAAGAAGGGCAAGAAGGAGGATCCGGCCAGTCAGTCTCACCTCTGCCCCTGGAAAAGCTTGTTCTGGATGCCATCTCCAAGCAATTGGAAGAGAAGAAGGTTATAAGGAGTAGTCAGCATGGATTTACCAAGGGGAAGTCCTGCTTGACCAACCTTGTTGCCTTCTATGATGGCATCACCAGCTGGGTGGATGAGGGGAGAGTAGTGGATGTCATCTACCATGACTTTAGCAAGGCTTTTGATACTGTCTCCCAGGACATCCTGATAGCAAAGCTGAGAAGGAGTGGGATACATGAGTGGACAGTAAGGTGGGTTGAGAATTGGCTGACTGGCCAAGCTCAGAGGGTGGTGATCGGTGGAGCAGAGTCTGGCTGGAGGCCTGTGACTAGCGGTGTTCCCCAGGGGTCAGTGCTGGGTCCAGTCTTGTTTGACATCTTCATCAACGACCTTGATGAGGGAATAGTGTCCACCCTCAATAAGTACGCCAACGATACAAAGCTGGGAGGAGTGGCTGACACGCCAGAAGGCTGTGCTGCCATTCAGCGAGACCTGGACCGGCTGGAGAGATGGGCAGGAAGAAACCAAATGAGGTTTAATAAGAGCAAGAGTAGAGGCCTGCATCTGGGAAGGAACAACCACATGTATCAGTACAGGCTGGGGGATGACCTGCTGGAGAGTTCTGAGGAGAAGGACCTGGAGGGTCCTGGTGGGTGACAGGCTGACCATGAGCCAGCAGTGTGCCCTGGTGGCCAAAAGGGCTAATGGGATCCTGGCGTGCATTAAAAGGAGTGCGGCCAGCAGGTCAAGGGAGGTGATCCTCCCCCTCTACTCTGCCCAGGTCAGGCCTCACCTGGAGTACTGTGTCAAGTTCTGGGCACCCCAGTACAAAAAAGACAGCGATCTCCTGGAAAGAGTCCAGCGGAGGGCCACAAAGATGATACGGGGCCTGGAACATCTTCCTTATAAGGAAAGGCTGAGACACCTGGGTCTGTTCAGGCTTGAGAAAAGAAGACAGAGGGGATCTCATCAATGTGTATAAATACCTGAGGTGTGGGGGACTGAGGGATTTGGCCAACCTTTTTTCAGTGGTTTGTGGGGACAGGACAAGGGGCAATGGCCACAAAATGGGTCACAGGAAGTTCCGCACCAACATGCGAAAGAATTTCTTCATGCGAGTGTGACGGAGCACTGGAACAGGCTGCCCAGGGAGGTTGTGGAGTCTCCTTCTGTGGAGATATTCAAGGCCCGTCTGGATGCCTACCTGTGCAGCCTGCTCTAAGGAACTTGCTTTGGCAGGGGGGTTGGACCTAATGATCTTTCGAGGTCTCTTCCAACCCTTTCAATTCTGTGATTTTGACCTGTAAGAAAGTGCTGCTTAGGGGATGATCTAGGGCACTGAAATAAACACAAGGACTTCTCTGAGCAGGAAATGTCCCTTATAGCTGGTTTGCAGAAATGTAGCCCCACAAATCATGCACTGGGAGGATTCACACATTGCCTCTTTATATTCAATTTTTTCATCTAAGCTTCCCTTAAAGTATCCTTAATGACTTCGTCCTGAAAACATACCTTAATGAGTGTTAGCAGTCTAAAATCAACTTGGATAGAGCTAGTAAGATACTGGAAACTAATCAGAGATTAGAGATCATCTCCTGCAATTTAGATGAGCGGGGAGATGGAATCCACTGAGTAAACAGAGCCAAGGATACAGTCTAGACACAACAGTTTCCAAGCAACACATCACCTTCTCTTAATAGCCTGTAGGGTCTTTAGACAGCTAAGTCGTATTGCTACTTTAAGTAACTGGATAAGCAGATTTCCTTTGCATTTCCACTGCCTGCAGCCTCATTCAGCAATAGGCAGCTGCTAGCAACAGACTGCTTTTGCATATAAATGTATGTCCTGAGATTCTTGTTTGCTGTTTATGGATATTGGCCTTGCTGATTTCTGGTTTTGCAGTTCTCCCCCTTATCCCCCACAAATCTCCACAGTGGACAATTGAGAAGTTTCCCTGTTCAGAGGGCATTGTCCTGAAGTTAGGACATGCTCTTTATCAGGAAGACAACAAGTAATTAAAGGACTACAATGACTTACATGCAGTAGCGGTTCTACTTTGCATGATGGTATCACATGCCCTCACCAGTGTACTCTGGTACTTTAGAGTTATTGCCAGAGACAGCCACATATCAGGCTGACTACTAACAAAAGCAGTTAAGGCCTGGAAAACACCTGGCTGCTCCCATGCAGTGCAGAACACAAGGCAGCAGATGCTATGGGATTCAGTTTGGGTCAACCTGAAGGGCTCTGCACTGCCTTGCTTGGAAACAAGGTACAGGCACCACCTTCCTTCTCTCTGTCTGCAGAAACACATGCTGTTTTTATTATATCCCCTATTTTCCACAGCATTACTCAACAATAATGGTTTCATCCTGACTGTTCTAAGCCAGCACTGGAATTCACTTTATTAACAGGAAGACATTTTGAAGACCCCAAGAGACATCCCTCCCTCTAGTGGCCCATGTGTCTTTCAAAACTGGCTCAGCAAACAACTCAAGTAAAGCAATGATGGGTGAGGAATCCAGTGCTCATCTACTTTCAAACAGAGCACCGTTGACAGAATTTCTTTATTAAGTAAAACCACTAGCAGACAAGCTTTTCTATAACACTGCAAATTCTTACCTAAAGAAAGAGTAGTTAAGGAAAAAAAATACTCTTCCCAGTATTCCATGACCTTTTTCATACTCACTTCTCAAATTCTCTTGAATAATTTATTGATTGATTTACAGGCTACTAGTTGTTAAAGGAACCCATAGAGTGGTTTTGTTCTGGCTTCAAGTTCTAATCCAGATCTCTGCTCTGACTGGCAGTTGTTGCAGGACAAACAAGTATCAGTTTGCAGGGCCATCTTTTTCACCAGCGTTACCAAATACAGATGTATTACAGTATTTATTGAAGTGCAGCCTGTCATTCATCTGGAAGAAACCCCACCACATGAGTAGCTCTCTTCCAGAGAGAGGCTGAGACTAACTCCTCTAGAACAGGGGTAGTCCGCTAGTCGATTTTTTCAGGATTCCCGGGTATGGACCATTTTTTAACCTTTCTTGCTACTTAAATATTGATGCAAAGATCAGAGAATCTATTAATGTCATTTGCTGGGTCCATCTAAAAGAACAACCTTCTAGTTCACATGGTGGACAGCTACCAACACAAGTGTAGTGCCTCCTCTTTCATGGAGTTCAATGTTCCATTGCGATATCAAAGACTTGTCCTTCCATACTTCCCTGATTGGGAGAGGGACCACAAAAACAGCTACAACTAAATCCCCTCTTTGAGGTGCACGGCCAGTCTTCCTGCAACCATGGCTGCAGAATTGAGTTAATCTAAGCTTGGAGAATTGAGCCTAGATTGTTTTTTTTTTGTTTGTTTCTGTTTTGTTCTGCATAATCACAGCAATGATGATTTAAAATAAACCAAAATATTTTTTTTTAATCAGTCCCTGAATGAATTTCAGAACTGTGATGTCACATTTCACAGGTGAAAGGCATTCTAAAATAACAGACCAAATTTGAGCACACATTACTGGCTTCATTTTAAAACATTGTGCATTTTGCTTATTTAAGAAAATGCATGGTCCTCTTTTACCTACAATTTTAGACCTCAAGCCAACAGCTGTCATTTTGTTTTAATCATGATCATCCCAGAACAAGTCACAGTATTTATTAAGTCAGTTAACATGGCTTATGGCAGAAATTTAAAAGAAGAAATAATATCTCTTGAAGTAATCAGATGGTTAATTACAAGAGGATCACATACATCACCATTAAGTTACACTTCTAACTTCCACCAAAAAAAACCAAAAAAACCCACAGAACTTCTTAGCATAAAATTACATTTGCTTTAGAAAAACATACATAAAACAACGTTGGTATATTTTATTTCAAAAGAATGTTGTATCAACTCTCTAGCAATGCAGTTTAAGACTTGTTCATAAAGAGATCTATCACAGGCATGTAACAAAAATTAATGCACGCCAAAAAGTATAAATCCTGGTTTGATATTTTTTTGTATCAACTGGAAAACAGTAGGCATGGAGCATCCAGAAAGGAAACAAGAAAATATTCATCTTAAGAATTTTTGGTCTGGCAACTTCTATGTTGCTGTGCATTTGGGACATGCTCCTGACTACACCAAATAAAGATGTATGGAGAGTCTTTGGAGGATGGCAGATCCTTACTGCAATAATACACATAACCCTCTAAGAACATTTCCATTTTGCTAGCAACAGCAGCACAGTAGAGCAACATTGAGTGACCCTGTAAATCAACCCCAAACACATGAAAAGCAACAGTAGTCTGAACTGTTCCCCAAATTAATCTATAAAAGGCCCGTCATGTTCTTTAACTTGCTAAATACCAATCTCATGCACACTTCCACATAATGCCACTGAGCCACTTTAACCAAGGGTGTCACACAAATTCTGTACACTAAAGCCATCCAGGAGGATTAAGGGAAAGAATTGCTGTCTAAAACTCAAATAATCTCTTCTGCCCTATACTGTAAGATTAGAATAGTACAGTCTGCAACATCGCAGCACGTTAGGTAAGCTCTTACACAGGCTATAAACAGGGTATGGTTTTACAGCAGTGTACGCTGCCTACATAATCTCTCCTTACTGGAAGGTTTCTGAGTACATTATGCATCTTTAGGGCAACTGCAAACTGATTGTAATCAGGTTGACAGAATAGGATAAATGCAGAACTGATTTTTGTTTAATATTTAAAACTTAAGCTTCAACAAGGGTTCATGATTTCAAGTTTTATAATGGGCTTAGATAAATTTAGAACCAAGCTCTCAAGGAAGTTTAATTACAGCTTTTAAAGATACACAAACAGGAATGGCAATGTTAGTGGTCATTCAGTCCAGGAGAATCTAAGTTAATAAAGCAGATTTAAGACAAACTTAAGTCCTACTAAGTTTTTCCACTCTTCTCCCCCACCTCCCCCCAGCCCCTGCCCCCAGGAGTTCACCAGAATAAAATGCTTTTTTCTTTTTTCTTTTTTTTTTTTTGCAAAGAACGTGTACAATTTGGCAGACCACAGGTGGTCAAGTCTCTGATAATTTACACAACTAGAAAGTTTACATACTTAAGTCACCACATCTCATCTGCTACAAGTACTGACTGCTGCCAGTTTGAGAAGCAATTGTCTCATTGCTCACAGCTGCATTAAATAGGCTCTAAAAAGACAATTCAAATTGATGCAACAGCTTACTCCAGTTTATTAGCTGAAAGCCAGCTGCAAAAGCCTAACATACCTATGTAAATCAAGGCTATGAATTTGAAACAACAATCCATTCACACAACCAGAGCTAGTGATTAAGCCTAAATATCATTCAGGCAGTGCTGGAGATTTGGAGTACACATGCCAACAAAAAGAAACAACCACTTTGTCATCCAAGCTTGCACACTCTCAATCCTTATCACTGGGTTTTAGAAGTATTTTCTATTACTAGCTCCCTTTTCCTGTCTCAAATATTATGGGTGACACACTATCTTATTTTCTAACTTATTTTGAAATATGTGAAAAGTTTGAAAACCGCCTTCACCATGGAATCATGTATTGCATTAATTCTTTTCTGAAGTCCCGTGTTTTTCAGCATTCTTGAAACATCAGCCTGTATTTCAAATAGGCTGAGCTCTGAGAAAGAATTTCTAGTATTACACAATAGAATATGAAACTGTAGAGGCTTTTCCTCTGTAAAATGCAGATTTATAACTAACCTTGAGCCCAATCTCAAGACACTACTCTTATTTAAAAAACATACAAGTTTCTCTTTACCCCTCTAAAAGATGAGGTTTTGTTCACTGCCACAAATCCCATCTATTTAAACTCAAAATGTACTGCTTGTTCTCTCAATTTTGACCTTCAAAGTCAAAACACAAAACCCTACCACTACAGCACAAAAATCAAGCTCCCTATCAACTCAAGATTCCTCCTATCAGAAAGGACTTTCAAATGAAGGGAAAGTTTTTTTTTTTTTTCTTATTTCAAGTAGAATGACTACAGAGAAATGACTCAAGCTTCAGCAGTAAGTTAATGGAACATCATCTGAAATGAAGACTGACTCGGTAACATGTGAGACTTGTTAATAATTCGTTAATCTCCAGCTCAAAAACCCACTAGAAGAATTCATGTAGTAACACTGAAATAGCAGACTACTGCTTTTTTTTTTTTTTTTTTCTTTTGGGCAGGGGAACAAGCTTTAAGTGTCTTTCTGGTATTTGATAAAATGGAGATCAGTAAGTGCTATGTATCCCCAAAGGATTAATCATTTTAATACTCATGAATCTGGACTAGGCAAACCTGTGGTACAATGACTTGATTCTACTAATGTGTTAAGACTAGCATAAGATTTCAGTTGTGTGCGCTGACATTTTGTTTTGCTTTCCTTCCTCATCCTGAGTACATTATACCTTAAGAGTTTACTGTTTTCTCGAACACCCCGCTTCTGGAACAGTACAAACTGTAACACCAGGAAAAAATTGTGGAGTGACTGGACACTGGATTCTTACAAGTAGAATTACCTAGACAAGAGTACAAAGTTGTCATATGAATGCTCTATAATGGTTCTCTAATTGTTGTTAGCGACATAAGATTTCATATCTAAATTAATTAAATGAATTAAAATGAGTTAAAATTTAGCATTTGTCTAGAAAGGCAAGTCTCTGAACTTGAAAGAGTATGGATACAGGCAGTAAAAACTAATGTTTTGCACATTTCCTGACTACTTAGGTAGTCACATTTTTCCTGAATAAGCTGCCAATAAGTTTCAGTAGTAGAGAAATCTTTCTTCCTTTACAAGGAATACATGACACTACAAGGCTTTTTTTTTTTTTTAATTAAAAATAAATAAATACATAAATAAATAAAGAACTCCCCACTATTCTTATGGTTTGCCAGCTCAGTGTTGTTTCAGCTGTTTCAGAGAAAATTTCCATGTCTACCTCACAATGAAGAAAGCAGCCTCATGTTTGACCAGGTAAAAATCATTTCATTCTGTTAAGAGTCTTATCTTGCAAGAATACCAAACACTGACAGCTAACTAAAATTAGATGAGGAGCTTGGTTTAAAAAGTATTATAACTTCAAATAACACCAAATTAATTACTTGCTAGAAAAGTAGCCCAAATCATCTTTCTGTAATAACACCCAAACCCCACAGCAATAAATCTCCATGTTAACCATTAATCACAGTAAGGCTTTTCAAACTTGGAAAAAACTTTAGTGTGGAGCCTGTTCCCTCCTTTACTTCTGCAACTAACACTACCAGCTAATTAAAGTATTGTACTTGCCAACATTAAATGCTCAGTCATTGCAGAAGCCAATTCAAGATCTTTCTCCTTCACTCACTAGCAGAAGAGATACAAAATTCTATGTACTTCCTTCAAATCTTTTGGCAGTAGCATCTAAGACCTAGATGTTTAACATGCTCTCAGTAACAGCGGCTTTAAGTATTTCAGCTTATGTTAGTCCTATTATACTTAACACCACTACTACACAGTCACTGTAGTAAGTTTCGGAAAGAAGACTCAGTTACTCAGCAAACAATGTCTTACTACACTGCTACCTAGATATGCCTACACAAGAGACTTAAAGCTCTCGTTTTACCGCTACAGCATATGATCGCATCAAGCTAGTCTACTAATTAGCTAATACTTCATCACATAGATTTGCCAATTTATTCAATAAGCAGTGAGATGTACTTGCCACAAATCAGTTTTAGCCATCCTGTAGCAAGGCTACTATACTAGTTTTATACTTAAGCTCAAGCATTTCAAGATATTCCAGAAAATACATGAATAAACTTATATTTTTTAAGCAATACATACTATTTTAAGACAACCCACGCAGGTAAGTCAGATGAAGAGTAAAACTGAACAATCATCACTAAAACATTTCCATTGGAAATGTGCTGAAGTTCACAATTGTCTTCATTACCACCTTACTGAAGTTTTCTTATGTGTTTCTAGTCTACATACCATACATTTCACACAGTCATACAAATCTGAACCAGATTTTAAACATTCAGGTAACAGGGAAGTCCATTCACTGCAAAGATTCATTTTTCACAGAAGAGCCAGGCTAGGTAAGACCAAATACTGCAGGATTCTTCACAGGAGTACAGGTATTTTAGAAACCATGAACTTTCAGTTGTTCTTCCTTGACAATGCCAATCTAAAGGAAAAAAACAACATATTTCAGTAAAGCTTACATGTTTATAGAGTGTTGTGATATCAAATTACCACAATCTTGTACTTTGATCAAAAAAACTGAAATACAAGTATATCCTCAAGAAAGCAGCATTCTGTTTCCAAAACGTTTCTGGTTCACACAGAATTTACTATTCAAAAAATATAATTTTCTTAGATACTGCATTTGTTCTGTAGTCCTAGCAATTACTCTTTGGCAGTTTAGAAACTCTCCACCATGGTTTACACCAGTAAGTGAGTGGTGATTGCTTCTTTCCTCTGTAGTAGTTTCAGTCTCAAAATTACTGTTTGCAAACACTTCATTTTACAAATAAAGAACCTGAATTGTACTTCAAGAAAACAGGTTGTATGTTGTAGTGCGGTAAATGCACTCTAAGGCACTTTGATTCTTGTAGGATGAGAGTAAACCTCCAATAAGTGATTCAAGTGTCAATTTACTTTTTGGCTGCAAGCATAAAGGAAGAGCGGACATCTGCTTAATTAACATCAGTGGTCACCTGTTACACCATTGCTTCCACACAGGTTCAGAATATTGCAAGATGATTATCTTTACTCTCTCACCTCCAAAAGGAATTGGCAAATATTCTTCCTCTGGTCACCTTGAAGCTGGATAACTTCACCGTATTCAGGATGTTCAATCACAGTACCATTACAAGCAAATTTCTAGAAAGAGACATTCATGTTTTAAGACACTGAATGTACATTATGATTTTGCTTAGAAAGTCTTTTCTGCTTTTCTTTTTCTGAATCTTGTCACAGAAGCTGCTTGCTAAATACTGATGTCAAGCAAGGCAAAGGCGTGATCTGGTCTACACTAGTTTTGAGAGTAAATGGAGTATGTTTGGTAATGCTTACAGACTAACCAAGCTGCTGATAGTAAATTCAAGTAAAGATAGGATTAGCCACCATGAAGGAGAAACTAGCCAATGCTCATTACAAGAATGAAAAACAAAGGCTTAAGATACAGTCTTTCAACTCTGCATTACTTTAAAATATTTTCATACTACTACAAGAATGATCTCTACTTCAACAGTAACCCAACAATGAAAGAAGCTGGAATGCAAAAATAGTTCTACTTTGAACTGATCTTATACTTCACATCAACACCCAGAATATTTTTTACTTAATTCTTTATAGGAGAGAAATCTTTAGCTTTTTAGCATGAAGCAATGTCACTGGACACCAAGAGGAGTTTTGAGAAAGACAGAGAAAGGGATCAAGCTGAATATGGAAGTGATGTGCACAGGCAAGAATGAGATAAAACAACTGTTTTGTTATTTAGCATTAATAACTATCATTCTCCTTTATATAGTACCTTTATTCTTAAAATCAAATCAAGAACTTCACCTTTTTGAAGGCTTTCACAAGTTTCTTCTTGTCATAGTCATCTGCAATTCCCTGAACAGTTGTTAGTGTCTTTCTTCCGTTTCGCTGTTGGATCCTTATATGAATGTAATCCTCAGTCCCTGCTGGGAGTAAGTCGTCACCCTTTGTTGCATCAGCAAAGGGGTCTGCAAAAAGAAAAAGTTTTTTTTAATTCCCATGCAAGATAAACTCGAGCTATCAGACAAGTTCCTCACCTCCCAAAGGTTGGTCTTTAGGGGGTAACTTTGCCATTTTCTCCCATTTTAAAACACATTCTACTTTCTTCTACATCTGTATTATCCCTTACCTAGCCTACTAACTCACCACAGTGCTCTCATGCATCTAGCTTCTTTAATACCTTCCTGAACATGGACAATTGCCAGCTACAGTATTGATTGACTGCACTATTTCTTGTAAGCCATGAATCATGAAGCTCTGCACCTGAAAAATGGTTTTTAAAGAACGTTAAGTGCACATAATGTTTTAGACAGCCATATACTTTTTAAGTAAAATACAGTTTGCAGGGAGAGGTTATATCTTTTATCAGATAATTGGTTTAGAAAAATAAAAGAGCTCTTGCAAACACGCTCAGTTCAGGAATCAAGTTCCGGAATCTTACACTCTTGACAGCTACTGCACTACAAGCTTAAGCCATGAATGTAATTTGTAACTCATAACCTAAACAAAACACAGCAACAGACATTAACAGATGACTACAGCTGTTTCTAAACCAGCACTGTTCAGTCAGTCAGTAGTTTTAGGCCATAAGTGTAACACAGTTCACTTATACTTCAACTACAGAAAGGTCCGTTCTCAAATGCTTCCAAGCTTAAATATACCTAACATTTAAAACTGGAAGGCATTGAAAAATAAAGGTTTCCAAGTTATGCTTCTTGTTCTCCGCAAAAGCTTATTTAATATTGACGCTATTCTACCTAGAAGTTTCCTAATCAGTAGGTCCTCCAAATAAACCTTGAAGAATGAACTACTTTAAGTTGTTGGATTTTTGTTTTGTTTAACTTGGTATTAACATACCAAATAATTTTTGGATACTAGTCAGAACCATATCTACAGAAGAACCTCATCTACAGGAAACACAGGTTCAACATTTGTGCAAGTTATGACTTCCTGAACTTCCATCCAAAACACAAATCTAAGAACACCAATCAAGTTTTGCCATTCACTTAAAACAAACATACCAAAAGAATACAACTTCAGCAAAAAAAAGGAACGGAATTAATATTTCAAAGAAAAGGTAGACGAAAAAGGGAGCCTTGACACAAAGGTGGCTTGGCAGAGTTTAAGCTTAGGTTGGAGATTAGCCAACACTGTAGGAGTTTACACTGGATAACTTAAAAGAAATCCTGTGGGCTAAACTCCCAAATGATGATTTACATAACCTCCTAATATGTCTCCTACGTGCACAAAGCCAGAGTTAAAACAATAAAAGCTTGACAACATTATCTTACAAAGTCTTTTTTTGCTTGCTTTTGTTATCTATAGATGAGGAAGTTGGAGAACCACAGCCCAGTAAGGTAAACTTCCATACTAATACAAGAGAAATAACCTACCACCCATACAGCTCAATCTGTGCAAATAGTATCATAGGTAGGGCATATCATGTTTTGGGGCATTAGCAAGGAAAAGGCAGTCTTGCAGTAAAGCAAGGCGCTTTTTTAATTGGAGCAGAGGCAGTAAGCAGAAAATCCCCTTCCCTGACACCATACCCGGCCTCCCTCTGCCCACCTAGACGTTAAGACCTTGGAGGCTGCAGCCATCAGCGAGTCCTGCTCGGGGTGCTCCCAGACACCCAGGCAAGCGACGGGCCGGGGGACAGGAGCGGGGCGGCGTAGGCTCCCCTTACCGAAGGACTGGAGGTTCTGGATAGAGGACATGCGATTCTGCGGCGGGAGGCTGGCGCAGCGTGGAAAAGGCCGCGGCTGACTCCGTTCCCGTCACGGCTCCAGCTCCGCAGCGCTGCCGGAGGTGAGGAGCAAGGAGGGGAGGAGCAGCGAGAGGAAAGGGAGGGGTAACGCATCTGCGAGGGAGGCGAAGGGGGGGGAGGACTAAACGCGAGAGCTAGGAGGAGAGGAGTGGTGACAGCCGCTTGTCCATAGCACACCGCCCCACAGCATGGTCAAGGGGCAGCAGCCGCCGCGTCTCCCCCTGAAACCACGGGCAACTGGAAATAACTTGCCTGGACACCCACTTCCACACAGTATAAGCCCTTGGTCACAGAAGCTTCTCATTATTGAGGCTAACTTTTGGGGTGCCCCCATGGGGTTCCCTTTGCTGTCCGGTTGCCTCTGTTTTGGGTGCTGCTGTTTCTTGGGTCTGTGTTCTCTGTGTTTCCAAGCTGGGCTGACCTTCCAAGCTGTCCTCGAATCGGGGTGAAAGAAAAAATTTCACCTTATCACTCCCCATTCAGACAATTTGGGAATAAAACCTCTTCTTCAGGTATGTCTTCCTGGACAAAAAGATGTTCAGTGCTAGGGGTGTGTTGGGGGAGACAGTCAGCACCACACAAAGCACCAGTGTCTCCTCACGTGCTTCTTCCCTTGTTGGGACTGCAGTGGTAAAAGCTTGCATTTAAACCTCTGCCTTGAAAAAACGTGCTTGCATTACAAAGCTTGACAGTCTTCAGGAGGTGATTAATGGCTTTGCAGATGTACAATAACCTAGTTGCATTGGCATGCCTGCCAGGATATTTCTCCCTTCCTCCTTCCCTCCATCTCTCCCTCCCTCCCTGCAAAATGCAGGGAGGTTTTCCTCTTTCCCCTGGGGGAAGCAGGATGATTTGTCATGGATCAAACCCTCTACCTACCTTGTGCTGCCATCAGTGAAGCCTTTCACTGCAATATGGCTTGCAGAGAAGGGTTGTCTAAGTCTTACCCAGGTGGCTGCAAAGGGCAATATGGGGACAGCAATGGGAGGATGGGGAGATGCTTCAGTCACAGAGGTGTGCTGCAAATTTGAACAGTGTATGTGTATTGAGGATGCCAAGCTAGTCACAGAGAGACCTTCTGGGCAGATTGACCAAGCTCAAGACACCTGTTATATATGGAGTGGTAATTCGTGTCGAGAAGATGGTTGATATTAAGAAAGAAGGGGGAGATTTGGGAGCGTGGCCATGGGGGTCGGAAAGCCCGTGGTTGATGAGAACATCAGACTCTTAACAATGAGGCCATCATGAATGTAAAAGAGTTTAGAGGGAACAAAGAAGGGTGATTCAGGAGACTCCATGCAGTCTTGGGTTTCTTGTTCTCCAGGCCTTAAGGCATGGAAGTTTCTGGGTGTTTGCTGTTGTTACATGCAAAGTTGTTTGACCAATGAAAAGTTGTTTTTGAAAAGGACTGCTGTGGGGTAAAGGGTAGAAGAGGGGAGCCTGCCCTCAAGATAAAAAAAGAAAGGCAACACGATGAAGTTATGTGTAAAGAAGCAGGAAAAAAGGATTGAAGGGGAACAGGCTAGCAGGATGGAGACCAGGACGGGAACAGGCACATTGATTGCCACATGAATATAGGTTCGGCCAAACTCAGCAAACTGCTCAGAAAAGCTCGTACAGAAAGTCGCTGGAAATAGGCACACCGGAGCTGGAAAGAAGCTCAAGCTGAGAGAAGCGGACCCGCGCACACAACTGCCCCTCGCTGGTAAGCAGTTGCGCATTATGGGGAATCATATGTCCTTAGGAACAAAGACTGTCCTGGTAACCTTACAGCTTATTCTCCTTATTAACAATCAGACAGTTTATGAGCCTCAAATATGGGACCAAACTGAGGTCAAGGTGTGGGACTCTGCTACTAAAAACGACAAGGTTGCAGTGGGATTGCTCGGCACCTGGCGAGCAATCTCTGAGGCCTTAAAGAGCCCTGTGGGACCACACAGTCACAAACGTGTGGCTTGCCAGATAGTGAGGGAGCAGCGGGCTCCTTTACTGATCCGACCGCTACACGCCATCGCCATGGCCCCTCTGCTGCTACAGCCATCGAAGGCCTTTGCTGTTCTGCCCCCTGCTGACCTGGACGTGCCTTTTGACCCAGGCCTATTGGCCTTGAAAAGGAGATGGATATGCTTTTCTTCGATCCGGGAAGAACGGGATACATAAGGCCTGAAGACCGAGTTGCTTGACAACCTAAAGCGAGACATATTGTTCAAAAGGAATGGAAAATGGAGACTTGTTAGTAATCAAGAAAAGGAATGGAAATTGGAGACTGTTAAGTCATGGAACTTAAAGGATTGTTTGTTACCTTTCCTGATTGTAGGTATGTATAGGCATACTTGGGTTTAGTATGTAAAAGCAATGTTAAGTTGTCAAGCAACTCTGGCCACGCTCCCAAATCTCCCCCTTCTTTATTAATATCAACCATCTTCTCGACACGATTTGCCACTCCATATATAACATGATGAAACTTTTTCCCAGCAGCAAAGCAGGCCTCCTGTTTTGCTCTTCCTTTTTTCCTTTTTTCCCTTTTTCTTCCAGCCCATAGTTTCTTTACCTTGTCTGGACAACTACCACTGACTCTGTAAGGCATCATGATGAAATAGATCAGCAAACTGATTGGGGTTATAAAAACAAACTCAGAGTTTAGAATCTCAACTCCACTTCACTTGCATAATACTGCAGCAGTTCTGCTGGGACAACCAAAGAGGATGGGGGCTGGGACAGGTTATGGATGAGAGGACAGTGGATCTTCAGACACAAAACGAAAGCCTAAGTGTGCAGGCTTAGGTGAGTTCTTTGCTCACTGCAGAAGTCCTTGTACTTTGAACCTTTATACATTTTAAATAGTTTTGTACTTGTAGTTCTTAGTAGGGTTAACCCAGGCTCATGGGCTCATGGTGCATCTGTGAGATTTATTGTACAGTTTACAAATGAGAGATTTGGTGTCTGGGAAACAACAAAGCTGCTTTATAAGCCAAGAAGGTGTGACTTCGTTGTCCTGACAAAATCAGACCAGTTCTTAAGTGCAAACCTTGACAGCTACAGAGGGAACGGAAACAAATCCTGATTGCATCTTGGCATGCAGTGGGTGACAATTAAAACAAGGGCCATGTCAGGCATGCTTATTGTTCCCTTGGCAGCCAGCCTTAGCATCCATGTGCTTTGGTGTGCGGTCTCTGCAAGGTTGTGCCAATGCAAAGAGCT